TATATATACTATATATATATATATATATATATATATATATATATATATATATATATATATATATATATATATATATATATATATATATATATATACATATATATATATATATACATGTATATCAAGCAAGACAAGCTCGATAAATTGAAAACTAAAATACAAAAGGGGCACTAACGGCTGATATTGTATTGACTAGCAAAAAGAATGAGAGCACCGGCATTCTATTTGCTGGTGTCGAACAGAGTAGAAAAGTATTTGTATGCGAGGGTGACAGCATGTTTACAACTCCAAGTCTAATGACGATTTCAATTTCCTCGCTTTCAAACGGAATACAGCTAACAATGTGGACGGGCATGAGCATTTCTTAAGCTGCTAGAAAGCTTACAGCATCATGCCAATTCATTGAGAGATCCTATATGTCGATGGAGTAGAAATGATGCGCCCACTGATGTTGCACGAGGGAATGATGATGAAATTCCTGCTGAGGAGATGGCTGCCGGATCGAACGCATCGCAAAGTCGCTTCGCACTACTAACAGATATGCCCAGAACCAAAATGCGAACTAAGCCACAAACTACAGTTCCGGAGGATGAACCAATCAAATGTCCTTTTAAAAGACCAGTACTTGATGATCGACCTGCGATAATTTGGCCGATCGAGGGCGCAAACAGCGGTGCCAATAATTGATGTTAAGCAAGCTACAGTACCAGTTCGCAATAAGCGCACAAACACATGCGCGCACTGCAAAGAGTCTGGGTGTATTGGCAGACAATACATGTCTGACTACAACTGTCCTATATGGCAGTATAAAAAATGATCTGCTGTGCATACAAATAAAACTAATTCAAGTAGTGACACGTAATTAAACATAAATATACTCTTTACTTCTCTAGCTTAAGTGATAATAATTTTGTCTTTTGCAGAATACAGAAGGTAGTACCTCCACAATTTCTTAAGGATTGTCTTGCTTTCCGAGCCTGTACGTTATTTGGTATCACCGTAGGATGTTATAGTATGTATGCGGTTAATTGGGATAGTTCTATGATCACATCTCATACTGTATGTCTTGTTAGGATTCTTTGGGTAATCCATTGAAAGTCCGTTGTATACAACTCTTTGCTCCTTCCAGCTTAATAAATGCCAGGATTTTTTTTTTGGCATGTAACTTTTGATTGTCTGTCCAAATTCGTGATGATACACCAACTACATACACCATCTTAGTCTTAGCATTAACGGCCGCTATGCCAAAATGAAATATTTGCACCTTAGAACAACCTGCCATACATGTCGCAGCATCACATCCGGTTCACTCTGGCGATGCACCGCAGGCAACAGAATACGAGACACGTGTCAATATCGTCGAACAATACCACAGCTTAGGAGATTACACTCCCGAGGAAACGGTAAACATATCGTAGAAAAAAATGCAAACAGATGGACATGATTGGCCCCGAATCCAACAACATGTACACAAGTTCATCGAAGGTTATGTACCATGTCTCAAAAATATGATACACAAAAAGGATTCCATCCCTTGCAATCAATCACAGCCGCATTCCCAGGTGACAGAGTCCAAGTGGACACCATTGGGCCACTACTGGACTCAAGCATAAAACTTACATACGTGTTAGTATGGCTAGATGGGTAATCATCGTATGTCATACTACGACCAAGGATGGACAAATCAGCGGCTACTATAGCACGTACGCTGGTACCAATCATGTATGAACATGGGTTACCACAAACCATACAGACTGACCAGGGCACTGAATATGTGAATGACATACTCTCAAAAGTCGTTGAACAAGCGCCGACACAACACCTAGTCTTTCGGCCGTACTAACCTAAAGTCTTAGGTGCAAACGAGTGATATAGAAACATCATACCATTGCTACGAAAATCCGGTGAACGAAGCCCAGGCAACTGATGTTCACGACTTCCCTATGTGCAAATGGGCCACAGCCTGCGCACATCAAGACGACATAAATCACCGAGATTTAATGTGTACTTCGGTCGCAGACAGAATCAACTCACGGATTACGGCACAACGGTGAACGCCCCCAATACGACGATATCATGGGAAGAGCGACAGAATATAGGTGACAGAATATAGAAGAGGCAATCAGGCCACAACTAGACACTAATACTGCGCAATATCAAGAGAAGATACCAGCAGCATATGACAAAAATTTTAAATGAGGTATGTACACTTCCAGGAAGGGAACATTGCCGTGGTCCGTTATCAAGGCTTAATGAAGAAACTGACATCACCATATGGCGGACCATACAAAATAGTTTGCAGGGAGGGCAACGGGTATTTTGGCTGTATCCTTGATGAGAATGAAGCCCTGGAATATCCTACCTCGGTTAGTGATGAGCTAACTGGACTCGTAAAAAAGGCCAATGCTCTGGAAGAATTCACTTCCAAAAACCAAGTACAACCAACAGAGGAGACTCAGTTCTCACTGATACTCGACCACAGGCCGTCCATCCGAGGTGATGGATCACAGGAGTACCTACTGCAATGGATAGATGCGGAGCGTATCTGGACGCATGAATCAGACATGGCAGATGCTGATATTCTTACTCTATACCGTCAACGCACTCGACGCAAACATAGACAATCATGGCAGACGAAGTCAACAGCAACGAGCACTGATGAAAGATCAGCGAACAATAGAAAGCACACGAAGTGAGGGAATTAACCAAGTCTCAATAATAACAAGGGGCACTCCTACTTTTCTCACCTTGAAACATGCTCCGCCTACGTACCGGGGAATAAGGACCAAATACTCGGTTGTAGAGCCACCGTTGAGGCGCGTTTGTGACATATATGACGGAAATGAGAGTTCGTACCGAACAGAACATACAAATATAATTTTAGATAACGGTAAACCTCCAATTTGCAGAAGACTATCAATCTTGTACTCATAATATCAGCTATCAGAAGATATGTAAAGTTACAAATGCTCATTACTAATATGTCAAAAATACGACGATACAATAGGGATGACAGACCCCCTCAGGTTAGATGTACTTTCGACTGGGCTTACAAATGGTAAAATGCCAAATAAAGACCAATCGAATAAAAACGTTCTCAAAGCATCTACACCGCTGAGGTGAAGCTAAAAATATAAGACCGCAGTTTACCGATACTATCATGGACTGTTATACTGACTGGTATATGCTTAAGTTCTCTAACGGGCACGTAAAATTTGACTAAATAAACGTCGACATTTTCAAGTCGAAGTGTTGAATTGTTGTAGCGCAGTATCAATAGCAAAGAGAAACTGTTTTGGGGTAGGGTTTTGCATAATATATCCATAACCTTATGTTCGACTAGTTCGAGAGCTTTTTCCTCACATTCTATAGCCCAAAAATTTCCCGGGTTGCCTTTGTGTTATCGTCCTCAGGTTCTGGGAGCAGCGGAGAGAAGACACAGAGACATACACGAAGGCAAATCAGTAATTCAGTGGCAGGGCAAGGTAAAGCAATCAGAAGATATGGCGCAAATAAGCGTCAAAGTAGAGTACACCAATGTACTGAAGTGCACACGGTTGTGAGCAAATCCTCGAAGAAGTGACCCTAACAAGGGTCGTACCATCAGAACCAGGCCTGCTTAAATATCCTATAGTCAAATATTGTAGAGTGACAGACTGTGAATAGAAGTTGACACAACGCGAACCTAACTAGATATGGACCGGTAGGCACAACATCAATCGGGAGCACTTCATGGGTTCGTGCACAGACTGCCACGGACATAACTTTTTTACAAGCAAGTTCAACCTAAGGTAGAGGTCAAGTGATAGAAATACTGGGTCTTGTTACTAAGACGAAAGTATGCGCCCATAGATAAGCGTGTCATTCTCGATGTACGGGCAAATGGGAATGCAATCAAATCGTTGTTGCATCCGGGCTCGCGATGCATATCATCGCGGTTATATAACGTAAATCAGAACATTAAACCTGCTGACGAGAAATAAATACATAAACGTATCAAGACGTCTATTAATTTACGATACACATTAACGAACCAGAGTTCAGTAGTCGCAAAGGCAGTCAATTACATGTCGCCAGACTATGATTTGATAGTACGACTGCTTTAGTGTCGAATATATATAACTATAACAGCTTTACCAACAGACATTGCCACACATACAGATCAATAAGACGGCAATAACCCTTCTGAAATGAAATTATTCCACATTTTACAAAGATTAACAAGATCAAGATCACATACTGGGATAAGAAATTCAACAATGGATACTTGTGCATTAAATTCTCGAAGCCCATCTCACAAATAACTTGTTGCATGGCGTCTCGGACGAGTAGTCAGATATCAAGATACATGCTGGTTGGAACATTAAGTTATAGCAGTAAATGAACCTTCCCCAAGTGATAATAATCTAGCGTTTTTCATTGTATATCAGTTCAATTCTGATGAGAAACTGAAAATAGCACAAGTCTGTTTGCAACTTCCACATACCAAGGATTATCGAATCATTGTAACGAATAAAGGGAGAGGGAGCTACAATATTATCCACCGTTGACCTGAAGTAAAGATATCATCAAGCGACACAGCAAAAGTGGTTTACGTTCACATGGGATGGGCAACAGTCTTCGTTTAAAGGAGCACCTATTGGTTTGCACATGCTACGATCGGTTTTCCAATGCAGCATGTAAGAGTTGTTTCGAAACATGGATAATATACAAGAGTAATATACGACATTAGCGTCTTTATAAATGTAAACGAAGAACACAACAGAGTTATATGATATATTTAAGCAAAACTGAACAAGCACAACCTCTAAATCAACAACAAGAAACGTCACTTCGGTGTTAACAAAATACAACTCTCGGGGTATCGAGTTTCTGGTGACGGAATCATGATCGATCCAGGAAAGTAGAACACTTACTGAAGTAGAGAACGCCACTACGACTGGAAAGAAGGTGAATAGCACATGCGCTTTCATCGATTTTTATCTGGCCTTTTCGACATTTGAGATGTCATGAAGACAAGTTAAAAACTTTATGAACCAAGGACTTACAGTGACGACGTCGTTAAGCATATAGAAAAGCACCGGTAGTCCAGTCACCTAAAGATGGATTACCGTTATAGTATCGAGAACTACATCCGATATGACACTCGGAGGCGTTGTAGCAGCGTTCTGTATCAAACAATTGATGGGAACCAATATATAAGGAAGTTTTTCTTATCAAGGATGCGAATTCACAAAAATATCGCGAGATTATAGTAGCATTCACTCCCGTTGATAACTATATGTATGGTACACACTTTCATGTATTATGCGATCAGGAATCGTTGTAGCACAAGAAGGACACGAAACCAAACTCACAGTTGGTTGGTCGGTGGCATAATGCGAATACGAAGTTCTCATTTAGCATGGCACATTCCTGGTTTATACAACCATCTATCAACATGCTATCACGCGTTGTATCAGACTTCAATAATATGATGAGAGAGCCAATCCTATGTGATTCAAGATTGCAGACCACATATGAGGTTCACCACGAACGATGTACAACTTGCCAGTAGGGGTTGTGTATCAAATCGATTTTTTTAACGAGAAAGCTTGAGCGGATTGATAATACTACAGCTGTTGAATTATGTGCATATACCGAACAGTGGTCTAGCCATACGACTTATCCATCGTTCTGTATAGTACAAACAAGCTATATTAAAAAAACAACAGTTGTAGCATTAAATGTATATTTTATAAAATTGTGCACAATCCCCCGGACAGTGAAATGATATGAACTCATTTGTCAAGTTATACTTATTGATGACACTGACGCTATGTTTTCAAGATAGCAATAACTATTACATTTGTATGTAGCGATAAAAGCCTAGGCGTCACGATATGGAAAGGCCCAAATAAATTTCGATACCAACGAACGTACCCACCATGCTCTCCCAATATGCCAAGTGCAAGCTATAATTCGGCAGCCTAGCCCAGATTTCCGAGTCTAATCGTAGTGTAAGTTTATTTAAGACGCGCACTGTAATTAGCTTTTCCGAACTGAATGGCTATATGTAGCTGCGAGCTGGCGGACATAGATTATGTATTGAGCCGATCATATAACAAGCTGATTCAGTGTATAAGTTATTCTAGATTATAACCAACAACAAAACATACAATCACAATGTGAATCGATAAGACCGAATAATACCATTTCATCTGCGTATTAATCATATTTTTATAAGATGTACTATGAGATAGTATCGTATTTCAAATCATTCGTCAGCCGTTTACTATTTGTTTATCTCACTGCTGGGCGAAGACGGGATTTATCCACAAAAATCAGATGTACCAGAGCAAGCTTGTGCTCAAAGATGCTATTTGTCGCTTATATTACGGGCGACCGACGTTCGTTTTCATTCGAGTGTACAGTTTTCAGCTCAATCATTTCAAAAAGGTACATAGGGAGTGTTGATACAACATTCAACTGCTCATCCAACTCAATCGTGTTTCAAAGATTAAAAGTATAAATTCAATCGTTCATCCTATGCGACACGAGACAAAATTTTAGCATCTTTTCACAACACCAAGACTGATAGCAACGTAGAGTCGTAACATTCACCATACTTTGCTTGGTTAACGTGAATGGTCCCGTATGGTCCCGTGTTATACATCTATCGAGTCGACACACTGATAAGATTTTCATACGCGACCATCTGAGAACAGTGAATTATACTAAATATCGGTTAGTTTCAATTTAGCATGTATTTATGTAGCGATACGGCGCTTGCCAGTCATGTCTACACGAAAGGTGACAATGATTACATAGTAAAATAATGGAATATATTATGCGGCCATTGAAGAATTAATATACTGTCATAGGAGACAATCAAAAGGCTACATGGCGACAAATAAGTATAACATATATCATGAATATTTTGAAAGCATATATTAAACGATACGACACCCGGAGGTACTGACTACACACAAGTTGTGACAGCAGCAGGAATACGACAAATCGACTCGTTCATTAGAAAATTTACTCCTTACCTTACTACTTTAACTGACACAGCTAATACTAAGGCTGTTGTTCGCGTGGACGATACATTTCAAATTCAAGACCGGCTACATAGCATCACAGACCACTACAATTTACCATTCATAGAGGTATTGCCACATATGTCATATATGCGAAAACAAAGAGCCTGTTTAAAACTTACTTATCTGTACAACAGTAAAACACGTCCGATATGCTCCGATATCGTCACATGTACGAACACTTAAACGCGCAAATGATTACAATGCAAGTTCAATAGGAACAAAAACTTGATTGAGGTAGTGGTTATCCTATATGATTTTGATTCATATTACCCCAGTTCGAATCTGGGATCGAGCTCGTTTTTTATTGGTCATTTAACTTGCTTAGTGATCGTTTGTGTACTTGTGTATGTGTATTTATGTATATGTGACGATACCGTAGACGGTAGCATATCGAGCTGTTTTTCTTTCGTAAAGTAAGTTTCTATTGAGCTCATCGTGCTTTTTTTTTGCTATTGAACTTGCACTGCGATCATTTGTGTGTGTATTGGTGTATGTATATGTGACGATATCGTAGCATTGACGATATCGTAGCATTGACGATATCGTAGCATATCGTCACATATACATACACCAATACACACACAAATGATCGCAGTGCAAGTTCAATAGCAAAAAAAAAGCACGATGAGCTCAATAGAAACTTACTTTACGAAAGAAAAACAGCTCGATATGCTACCGTCTACGGTATCGTCACATATACATAAATACACATACACAAGTACACAAACGATCACTAAGCAAGTTAAATGACCAATAAAAAACGAGCTCGATCCCAGATTCGAACTGGGGTAATATGAATCAAAATCATATAGGATAACCACTACCTCAATCAAGTTGTGATTTTTTAGATACTTTATAATCTATTCAAGTAAGATATCGTAAGAATAAATTGTTCATATATTTTTACGCCATCTATCCTGAATATTCGAACTGGGGTACAGTAATATGAATCAAATCATATAATTAGGAAATTTAACCTCTAGCTCAATCAAATTACTTTTTATAAAAAATATATTCAGAATAGATGGCGTAAAAATACATTTATTTATAAATGTATGTTGTTATTTATGGTGTATTATATTCAATTTTATTATTATAATATTAATAATATAAAATGTTAAAATTTTCAGAACTTGATTGAGGTAGTGGTTATCCTATATGATTTTGATTCATATTACCCCAGTTCGAATCTGGGATCGAGCTTATTTTTTATTGGTCTTTTAACTTGCTTAGTGATCATTTGTGTACTTGTGTATGTGTATTTATGTATATGTGACGATACCGTAGACGGTAGCATATCGAGCTGTTTTTCTATTGTGAAGTAAGTTTTTATTGAGCTCATTGTGTTCGCTTGCAGGTGTATATGACACATGTGACAATGCTTCCATGAATAAAAAATTGCAGTGGTCGGTTCTGGTGTATTTATAATTTTGCTGGTCTTGAAGTAGAATAAAATCGTCCACGCGAACAAAAGCCTTAGTTTTAGCAAACGTGAGCAGCTAGTAGTAGTGAGCGACTGGATTATGCTTATTAAAAAGTTAGATTATTGTATTCACGTCGTCATAACTCTTTGTGTAAAGAAACGACCACTGAGAGCGTTGTCGTTAAAAAGTTGATTCCTAAACATGCATGTTAAAAAGTTTCTTCTTACTTTCTGACGTGCCATTATTACTTGTCGCCGAGTAGCATCTTGCTTGTCTCATACAAAAGCTTAGGAGAGTCTTGGCGTGATGTTAATCGAGCTCGTTTTTGTTATTGAGTTATAGATTTGAGGATACGGTTGCAGTTATATGGATGGAAATTGGTATAGTCTGTTCTTGTGTGTTTTCGATGTGCCGTCCTGATTATATTTTAAGACATTTGGTACAACTGCGAAGACTGCCTACGAAAGTGTACCTTATTTGCCTGTAACTTGTATTGCCAATAAAAATAATAATCACACTGACAGCTAAGCTACTTAAAGTGAACGTTTAGTTATAGTAAGCAACTGGATTATTCCTTATCAACAAGTCAGTTTATTATATACACATCGTTATCTCCTTTTTGTATCGACTTGACGACCGAGTGCTATATCATAGCATAGAGGCGTATAAAACAAGCATCGTACAATTTTATTCTTACATGTTGCCGAGTAGTTTTTCGAATGTGTGGGTACAATCTAATAATGACGAGTTTATTTGTGTGGACATGGTTTGTTGTCGTTGACTCCTATGCTTCCAAGTAGAGCGAGGCGGCAATTCAGATTTCACTCGCTTAGAAGTAAAGCGTACATGCCTTTTCGATCCACATAAAAACAATGCCACTCATCAGGCAACAGTCAGTTGTGTTCACCAAAGCTACTCATGATACCAGCTTAAGATACACATACACTGATATTGAGCTATTTGTTGCACGCAAAGTATTTACAAACTTTCCAGTCAGGAGGCAAAACTGCATAGCAAATTTGTTTATTTGACATTCGAAGAGGTAGTTTTATAGGTTCTAAAGGTCTGCATGTATAGTCACAATACGTTGTCCTAAAATGGCCGGGCTTAAGTCCAGTTAATTCCATCACATTCCACTCGTATCCGCGGGCTAAAACGCTTCGAGACGACCACCTCACGACTGTTTGCAAAAAGGTCCTAACTGATGTAATACACGGTGCTTGGTTCCCACTAAGTGAACTGCGTCGGCCATAGTCGCTCACCCCCGTGCTCATCGCAAGCCTGGTTTAGCACCAACGTCCGTGTGCTTCCCCACACTCTCGCCACTCTCAACCACACATTCATCGCTCCTGGACTTTGCATACGGGACGGGTGGCGTTGGCGGTGGTCTCCTATACGCTTTCATCTGAGTCGTCGCCTGTTGTGCTTGTCCCGGTGACCGTGTTTGCACCGGCAGCTGTGGTGTATTCTCTCGAGGGTCAACGATTCGGTAGCCTTCATCCCCAGGGGCCCTCCGGGTGTTTACACTATACGCCCGTTGCAAGGCAACCGCCGCCGCATCGCTCGGTATAGTAGGGGATACGAGGGCCGTCGGTGACCTGGACCCAATTTTCGGACTACCGGTCGTTCCCACGCGGGCAGTTGCGGGTGTGATCGTGGTCAGTACCTTTGTGAGTGTCTGGGGTGTTGAACTGCGTCTTGTTGTATGGGGCTGAGTCATGGTAGTGCCCATGGTTTGCACGTGGCCGTTGTAGGCTTTGTTCACTGCAGAGCCCCGGGCGCTGTTGGCCGCAGACCCTCTGGCGCTACCGCTGCCGTGAGGGCTGGTTACTTGCGCTGCCCTGTCCTGCGCCTCATCGGAGATGGGGTCAGCACCATTGCCACTGACATTTGTGGTGGAGGGTACACGGTACTTATCTGGTAGGTGCAGTGGTTGCAATTTGCACGCGTGGGTGAGTACGACGGTGGAGGAACCAGGACAAATTCAATCGGGGTGCTCGGAGTGACTGAGATATACTGTCACGTAAAGAGCCGGCGCAGATAGAGAAGCCTGATTGAAGATATTGGCCGGCTACGAGTTAAGCGAAGAGACTGCATAGTACATAATGTATACATACATACATATTTTGTCATATACACACACACACACACACACACACACACACACACACACACACACACACACACACACACACACACACACACACACACACACACACACACACACACACACACACACACACACACACACACTATATATATATATATACTATACTACGTACGTACGTACCTACCGTACGTACGTACGTACGTACGTACGTACGTAGTACGTTACGTACGTACGTAACTACGTACGTACGACCGTACGTACCGTAACGTAACGTAACGTAA